GTGGTTTCAGTGTTTTCTGTGTTTCTGTGTTTTCTGTGTTTCCATGTTTCTGTGTTTCGTGGGGGTTATAATACGCACGTTTTCAATACACATGTAGCATACATCTTCCCTGTTACCCTCCCCTTGTTATAATGGAAGACAACAGTTGCATGTGAAGGACGTAATACACATGTATCAGACACGCTCCCCTTGCTTATAATGGAAGAGTTCTGGTCGATCTCAGTAATGAAGTCGGTGAGCCAGAGTCTTTTCATTAACGCGTGTAATCGGGCATGTCATTCAGACATATCGTGTTGCCTCTTGGGCCGGGGTGAATGACTCGGCATCGTTGCATATTCTTCTCTGGTACCGATGTATCACCCCCTCCACAATATCAACCAACACTGATTTCACGTGTGTCCATAAACAGAGACGCTTGGCCAAGGAGCAAAATAAGCAGCAGTAGTACTGCAGATCGGGTTGTCCAGAATGGTGGTGATGATGGTAGGTCCAGGATTTTGGTTCCTGGCCTGCAAATCACGGGAACTGGTTTTCTCAGATCCATGGCTTAGTTTCTCAAACTGTCGTTTTAGTGGGGGTCCTTAGTTTTAGATGCTTTGCTGGAGTGGAGGGAGGGACTTATTGCGTTGAATGGGGGGGAGTCATCTGTAGAATTGAGGAGTTTTTTCACCAGTTATAATGTCCCTCACTGTTTGGAGTCTTTTTTGAAAAGTATTTTTTCATCTTATCATTTCAACCAAGCAGCAAGAGGTCAAAATTTAAGAATAAGTTAATAGTTTGTCACCATTTTACGGGAAATAGTCAGAGCGGCAATGTCACATCTTAAAGACAGCTTAACTGGATAAATGGTTAGTTCTTCAAAACATACCGTACGTTCTGCATTGTTAGGTTATATCTGGCCAATTGGTTTAGACCAGGGGTCTGCAACGCTTTTAACCAAAAAAGCCATTTTCCTCCTTTTTTCAAAAAAAGATTTTTTTCTGTCGGAGCCGCAAAAAAATATTCATACCTATACTATAAAGTTGATTTATTGTTATATCAGACAAAAACTACATTTTTTTTCATTTATTAGCTATTTACATTATTAAAACTGTTAACCTCTAATAAGAAAACAAAGAACTCCTATAAGAGAATAAAAAATAATTTACAGAGGCCTACTTTAAAATAAATTAAACACAGCACTTGGGTAGTCCTCTGGACATTTGAAAAAAAAATATATAATTAAAATGGGCCCACTTGAAATAAATAAACATAAAGCCACCCTAAAAAAGTTAAATAGAGTATAAGAATGAAACCAGCTCGAGTCGCTAAATTGGAAAATACACAACCGGAAAAAATATGCCTCTTCCTTCAGACTTTCTTACAGAGTCCCTCCTCCAACACACACGAACGCGCATCATCAATGAGGCCACGAGATAAGTTTGTGCACAGATGGAAGGCTGACAGGCAGGTAGGCCATCCAGTTATTTTAGCCGGGCCGGCTAAAATGATTGGTCGTGCTTTTTACAGCGCTACGGCTTCCAGAGATTACTTTTTGTATGTATTTATTGTCAAAGCATTTAATATATTCATTGCTATCGGGATGTTAAGAGCATTCCATGGAATATAACAAAAAGTGTTTTCAGAAATAAATTACATACCCCATTGAATTATGACGGAAGATTGTCAGCTGTCTTCCTCTCCCTTGTAGTTCCTCGATACGTAAAGGCTGCAACACCGTTGACAACTTCTCTCTCTACATATCAAACATACCGGTAAACCAGCATCGTTTGCTGTGAAAGCATATAACTCAGTCCACACAGAATTTAATTCCTGTGTTCCTCCGGTACTTTACTTTGATTTATCCATAGTTCGCTCATCGAGCCGGGGGTCAGGTTATTCACCCGGAGGAAAAGGCGCTCGGCCGCTCGCGCGGGACCGTAGCAGGGTGTGACGCATATTTTAATTGACCTAATTAAAACCGTTTTGTTTTTTATTTATGTGTCACAGTATCACCTCAAAATACAAGATATGAAACATTTTCAACCATGCAACAAAATATAAATAGTCCTACAAATACTTTTATTTTATTTCCTTCTTATTTTTGTCTAAGCTCAAGGGAGCCAGAGCAGAGGGCTTAAAGGGCCGCATGCGGCCCGTGGGCCGCGGGTTGCCGACCCCTGAACTAGACGGACAACATTTTAACGAAGTTATTGCCACAAATTCTGTAACTGAAACAAATACCAAACATGCTTTTTATGGGGTTTTTTGTACAGTTTGACTTTACACTGAATAAAATGTATTTGTATCCCACATTCAATGTGCCCCTCTCAAAAAAGAACTGGCAGCAAAGCCCCCGGTAAAATGGTTCTTGAACCGCCACAACTTGAACCTGTGACCCTTCAGTTCCCAAGCCAGGTCCTTACAGACTGAGCAGCTGCTCAAGGTATTCAGAATGTAAAGCAACATTTGATTGCATCTCACATCAAGGTAATGATAACAACAACAAAATTATAAAATGACATGGAGAATATTTTAACTGACTTAATATCAGAAATGAGATAACTAAACTGTGCCCTGCTGAACATTAGATGTTCTCTGGAGCAGGATGTCTGCTTTGTTAATCAGCAAGAGTGCATTTAAAGCAAATGTTATACAATTTCACATATGCTTGTGTTTTTTCATTATTACAGTAAGCTGGTTTTTATTCCACTGTACAGTATTTCAATTAGATTCTGTTTCATTTGATTCTATTTGACTTATTCCTGCATTGTACTTGCACCATTGT